CGGGTTTGGTTTCCTTGTGATCTGGAGGCCATTCCATCTGTTTCCGTCCCGGGTTTGGACCTGGGCCTTGTTTAGGGCTATTGGGCCACTCATTGTCTTTCCCTCCAGAAGTGTTACTGCGGCTGTGGTCCCGCCTTCGGCTGTACATGAGGTGGTCCCGGGGTTGCTCAGTGGTTGCTTGAGCAGGCAGTTGTGCGGGAGTCTGAACTTCAACATGCTGGTCTACCCGCGGAGTCGGGTTTGGCTTCGGCGTCTGTTTGGTTCCTTCGGAGACTCCCCTTCCGCCTCTTGCATTCGTTGGGTTCGTTCCTCCGGGAATCTTGTGTTGATGCTGCGTCACCAGTTTCCTCTTTGGGGTTTTCGGGGTTCTGTGCCTTGGCACCTCCCCGAGCCTTCGCTCGATGTGTTCACGGACGGGTCATCTCTCGGCTGGGGCTTTGTGACCAGTGCTCACCAGGTCGGCCGAGGGTGGTGGAGTCTGTCCGTCCGTCGGGCTCACAGCACGGTTCGGGAGTTCGTGGCTGTCTGGTTTGCGCTTCGGAGGGTTTGGGTCACTCGGTGCTCTGCCATTCAGCTCTGTTCGGACTGTTCTCTGGCGGTTCTTGCCGGAACCACAGGGGTTTGGCTAACCGTGAGGTTCATGTCCGGGGTGTGTCCTGCGTCCTGGTGGACAGCTGTCTCGGTTCATTCTTCTCTTCGCGGATTAGCCAGTTGTCGCCGACTCGTTTTGTTGGCTCTGTCGGACGTATGGACTCCTGGCCGTGGACACCTTCGAGTCGGCGTGATCTAGGCGTCGCCCATTTTATGTGGCGCCCTTTCCCACCTACGAGGCATTCACGGTAGATGCTTTTCGACAGGACAGGTCGAGGTGGGGGTACCTGTTCTGTTCCTCTTCTCCCGGTCCAGCTGTTGCTTCGGGTTCTGGCTCGGTTGCAGCCCATTCCCACGAGAGCAGTCCTTATGGTTCCTTGGTGGCCAGCCCAGCCTTATTTTCAGACGCTGCTTGATAGGTGTCTGAACCCGGGGTGTTTTCCCGTGGCTCCGCCTCTTTCGGCAGGTCGAATCGGTCCTGTACGTGACTGTTTCAGCCTTCTCCTCGGCTCTTCGCGTCTGGTATTTTGACATGGGTATCACCATCTCTGTGGTGTTCAGGTGGCTTTGTTGATGGTGTCCCGCTTGCGAGCTTTGTCTTGGCGACAGTATGACGTTTCGTACGCTTTCTCGTGTTTTGTTTCACCTCCGGCCTGCTCATGTGTCACCTGAGCTGTCCTGGTCTTTGATCAGGGTGCCTTCTTATCTTCTCCTCAGTTTGTGGTAGCCCCTTCAGTTCAGGTTTCTGCTCTTTGGTACTGGTGGTAGATTTGTACGTGTGCAGCCTTTCTCTGTCCTGGTGACAGTCGAGACGGCTGCTTTCCGGAGGGGTTCTTGGGTTATTGATGCTTGATTGGTTTGGCCGGGGGTGCGTCCTGTGTTGTCCGGTTGTGTTTTTTTTTGTTTTTTTGCCGTTGCCTGCGTACCGAGTCTGGGGATGCGCTGTGGTTGATCCGGTTCCCCTCGTTCCCTGTTTTCAGGGCTTGGGTCTCCCAAGTCGTCCACAGAGTTTTTCATTCTTCCAGCCTGCGGTCTGTCTTTGCGCCCATGCTGTTCAGACGTTTGCAGCTTTTGCTGCTGTGTTTGCGACGTCTAGGGCTCATTTCGGGCGCAGGGATTTGAGGGTCACACAGGTTCTTGGTCGCCCATTCTTTATGCGCGTCTGCTCCTGTGCGTTCTTGTTGCCTTGGGTCACAGATTGCGACCTGTTGTCTCGGCTATGTGTTGCGGAGTTTGTGGCGGCCGCCTCCCGGGTTGGCCCTTTTTCTTTTCCTTCTCTTTGGGTATGACGCTCCAAGGAGCCGTAGGGGCTCCCCACAGAAAACCAGCGTTGAATGTAATGAAACACCATTTTCTGGGTGAGCCCCGGAGGCTCCCTGGCAACCCTCCCTCCCACCGGTCGGCGGTTTTTTCACGTTGGTTGAAGCTTATCTTCCGAACTGAAGCTTGGCAGCCGGCGCGGTAGGTCCGGGGCTTCCCCCTCCCCCTCTGGGGGAGGGGAGGGCTGCGCGGACAATCAGCGCGGCAGTAAAGTGTGATGTTTGCTTGTTTGCTTGTTTCCTTGTGATTGTAGGGAGTTTCTACCTCTCTGTTCGGTTTTTTGTTTTAGTTTTTTACCATGTGGGGTTTGTTTTGTCATGCCTACCTTTCTGGGTGCCTAACCCCGGTCAATGGCAGATAAGGAAAACCCCAACCACAAAGGGGTTTTCCAGGGCCATTGCTCCCTGAAACCTCTCTGAAGGGGCCAGGTTCCGGCGCTGGTCCCTTGTAGGTCTGAACTCCTTAGCTAATGTCCCGGTCTAATATAACAAACATTAGCCCGATAAGCTCCAGGGAGCCTCCGGGGCTCACCCAGAAAATGGCGTTTCATTACATTCAGCGCTGGTTTTTTGCTCCGGCAAAAAACAATAAACAATATATGCAAGCGACTTTCTCCAGCTGCTTCCTAATGTCTGACTTGTTGATTCTCCTGGGGTCCCAGGTGGGTTCCTCCTGGAGGGGTTGTGCCTGGACCCGTGGTTTCGCTCGTTGAGGTGGGCCACAGGTACCAGTTTCGGAGTTTGTGCCGCTTTCGGTCCCGGCTGTCCCTGGTCGGCGTGGTACTCGCTCTGTGGCGTGGTACTCGGTCAGGTTCTCATAAGGGGCGTCGGCCCTTTTGCCGTTCGACCCATTGACAGGGCGATGGGGGGGGGGGGAGGCTTGCTCTATTTGCTTACGCCTGGTCTCACGATTTGTGGGCTTTTCGGGTTATTTCTCGCAGCCTTCTGTGGCGTTGGGTGGCTCCTCCTCCTCCAGGGAATTCAGGGCTGGCAGGGCAGGCCCCTTCTCCTGCCTACTGTCAGGTCATCTTGGAGTGGGTGTGCTTGGGCGTGGTCGAACCGGCGCTGTCCCTCAGGTGGGTTTCTCGCCTGTTTCCAGCTCCGAAATGGGACTGTGCGGACCTGAGGTTCATTCTGTACTTGTCCCGTCTGAACCCCTGGGTACATTGCCCCTCCTTTCGGATGACTACGTTGTCCCAGGTTCGGCTCCTGTTTGTGCCGGGCTCTTGAATGGTGTCCCTGGACCTCCGGGATGTCCCGCTTCATCCAGGGTTCAGGGACTGGCTTGGTTTTGTTGTGGGAGTCAAGATAACCATTTTCAGTGTCTCTCATTCGGGTTGAACCTGGCACCTCTCGTGTTCACACGCCTTACCCCGGTCGTCGTGGCCCATCTTCATCTTTTAGGTGTTCGGGTGTTGGCCTACCTCGACGACTAGCTGGTTTGGGTTCCCAGTCAGTCCTCTTGTCTGCTAGCCAGGGATTTGGTTGTTTCCCAGCTCGTCGGGTTCGGGTTCCAGGTGACCTGGAGGAATTCTCATCTGTTTCCCTCCCAGGTTTGGACCTGGTTGGGTTTTGTGTGGGACTCTCTCAGACCGCTTCCTTGTCTCTTCCTCCGGGGTCTCTCCTGCGGCTGCGGTCCCACATGCTCCTGTTTCTAGGGGGGCTCCCGGGTCACCTGGCGGTTGCTCGAGGGTCTGTGCGGGAGCCTGAACTTTGTGATGATGGTCTACCCGCTGGGTCGGGTTTGGCTTCGTCAGCTGTTCTGGTTCCTTTGGGGACGTCCCTTCTGCCTCTCTCACGATGGCTGGGTTTGAACCCGGGGAGCCTTACGGTGGCTGCAGTGTCGCCGGCTTCCTCATCGGGTTTTTGGGGTTCAGTGCCTTGGCACCTACCCGAGCCCTCACTCGATGTGTTCATAGACGTGTCGTCTCTCGGCTGGGGCTTTGTGACTGGTGCTCACCAGGCCGGCCAGGGACGGTGTGATCCGTCCTTCCATCGGGTCCACAGTATGGTGCGGGAGTTCGTGGCAATGTGGTTTGCTGTTCGAAAGGTTCAGGTCGCCCTCGCGATCCGGCTCCATTCGGACTGCTCCCTGGTGGTTTAGCACTCAAAATGTCCTTTTTCATGTCAAGCACAGTGCATATCATTGACATGGATTTGTTGTACAGCCTAGCTAATTTAACAACACGAGTACCATTTTCATGTTTACGAATGATCTCTTGTTTTTCCTCTATTCTTACATGTGTTTTCTTGCCTTGAACCTTACCACTGGCTTTCTTGGCACCCATGGCGAGATATATAATAACAACTTATATGTTCAAATAGCCAAAAATCCGAAAAAATGTAAATCCTTGCAAAGAATTCAGGCAGGATAGTCACTAGGCGGGAGGCACTGGTAAACTGAGGCGCAATCGCCGTGCCACCATGTGCTAGGTTGGCCATACGTGTGCCAACAAACTCGTATCCCGAGGTAAAGTTCGTAACCCGATTCAAATTTTCCAAAGAAATCTGGCTCGTAACTCGAAAAGTTCGTAAAGAGGGGCATTCGTAAACCGAGGTACCACTGTATTTTGATAACCAGCCTCAGAACTGCAGGGTGGATCGCCGGCACTGGGGTTTCAGGCTACCCCTTCCCTCTCCCGGGGAGGGGGGGATCTGCGCAAACATGCGGCGTGTATCGTGTTACGTCATGGTTGTTTGCTTGTTTTCAATTGGGAGTTCTATTCACTTGTTTGTCTATTCTTGTCGTTTTTAATCAGAATAGGATTTGTTTTGGGGCACTTACCTCTCTGGGGCTTGTCCCAGAGAGGTAAGTCTGATGCCTAAGTTAGGGATAATCATATCAGCTTGATAGCTCTGGGGAGTCTCTGGGACTCTCCCAAAAAATGACTTTCCATTACATTCAAAGCTGAATTTTTGGCAGAGGCTGATGGGAATCATCTGTGAGACGTGATCTCAACGAGCTAGCTTCAGAGACTCACCGAGGCCTTCCAGAAAAAATTGTTTCATTATAGTCAATGCTGGTTTTCTCTGTGCATACTCATATTGTGGTTTTATTCACTAAGTGCTACTTTCCTTGTGATCTTGCAGGGCCATGGAACACAAGGTGGGCTACCAGTCACAGTGCTGGAGTGTCTACATAAACATTTCAGTGTAACGTTTGAGTGTTTTGGGTCTCCCCTCAACTGCTACTTTAGACAATACTGCTCAGCGTTTCCAGACACAGATTCCTACTTTGGCTCCAGAGGGTGAGAAGATTGCTTTATTACCAAATGCATATTCATCAGAGTTGTTAGGCAGTAATATCTTGTTATTATAGTTGCATGAGGTACTATATCTTGTTACTATAGTTGTGTGTACTGGTAATATATCTTGTTTAATGTAATTGTGTGTGAGGGTAATGTATCTTGTTTAATATGGTTGTGTAAGGATAACATATCTTGTTTATTATAGTTATGTGAGAGGGGCAATATATCTTGTTTATTACAGTTATGTGAAAGGGTAATATACTGTATCTTGTTTGTTATAGCTGCTTGAGAGGGTAATATATCTTGTTTATTATAGCTGTGTGTGACAGTAATATATCTTGTTTAATTTGGTTGTGTGTGAGAGTAATATATCTTGTTTAATATAGTTGTGTGTGAAAGTAATGCATCTTGTTTATTACAGTTCTGTGTGAGGATACTATATCTTGTTTTCATGGGGTAGCCCCGTCGGCTCCCCAGAGCTATCCAGCTATCCAGGCTGATATTGCTAATGTCAGACTTTGGCATCAGTCATGTGTATGGAGTTCTTAGGCCTACCGGGGACCATGAGCCAGAACCTGGGCTCCCTTCAGAGAGGCATGAGAAGCAATGACCTATAGGAACCCCATGTGGTTGGAAGCATTCTATATCTGCCATCGACTAGCGTCAGGCACCCAGAAAGATCAGCATCCCAAAACAAACCCCTATTCTGGTTCAAAAATTGCTGCTGAGAGCTGAACTAGTAAACAGAACTCCCCAAACAAAAACGAGCTAACAAGCATGACGTCACCACATCGCCGCACTGCCATCTGCTCAATTCCCCCTTCCTGGGAGAGGGGAAGAGGGAGCCCCATACCCCTCGCGCTGGCTACCCAAGACCCCAGTTCTGAGGCTGATGCGCTAGGCAGAGATCGTGTGCTCTGGTTCCAGACTTGGTCTCAGCTCTGTGCCTTATGGTGTGGTGGCTGTCTTATCGGGGATGTGCGAGCCAGGGGTAATTCTTCAGTACTTGGGCTGCAAGCAGCTAGGGTTCCCTTTCCTAGGTGCCCGGTAAGTACTGCCTTTGGGGCTTGGGGTCACCTTCCACAGGTTCCTTGGGTTCTGCTGCTTGACTATTTACTGCTCGGTTTATGACCCCCCCTTTGTGTGTTAGGGTGTTGACTCCTTTGTTCGCCTTAGGGCAGGAGGAAGTTTGCACTGGTAAGGGACACAGGGTACTGCGCAGCTTGTTTTCACCAATCATAGTGGCCGGCTCTGTTCCACCTAGGTATTCTGTCCTCTTGCGGAGTTTTCTTTTTTCTTTTTGTTGCCTCCCTGGTGGGGGGGTCTGCGTTGGTTATTGCCCCCCCCTATGTACTGCATACTCTTCTCTATTCCGGTGGTACCCCCTGCTAGGTCCACGTGAGTGTACACGTCCCGGGGGTTCAGTTCTTAGAAAGTTGTTTGGTACACTTGCCCGCCAGTTAGCAGTACACTGCCTGGGCTTTCCTGAGTGTGAGTTCTGTCTCAGGACCCTGGGAATCCCCACGGGGGCACGCGGGTCCGATGGATGTGACCCCTCGAGTTTCCCCTCGCTTTGTGCGAGTTCAAGGGTTGCTCTGTCCCCTTGTCTCAAGCTGACTCTCACTGTTTTTGCCTCCATCTGCTGCCTGTTGGGTCGGTGGCACCTTCGACCCGGAGTCTTGCGAGTTTTGCTTGTTTGTGACTCATTTACCCAGTCCTATGCTGACTATGCAGGTGCAGGCAGCCCAAGCATTGCACATTGGGTTCAGGTAGTTGCAACGCGCTAGGTTGTTTGCTCACTGGAAGCCCCGAGGCTGCCGTGTTTTGGTTGTTCTGACCCAGGCTTGGGGGTGTTGGTCACTTCTTTCTTTTTCCGTTTGTGCCCCCTTGTCTATCCCCCTATTGTGGTTTAGTCTGGTCTCCCCCTCCCCCCCCTTCCTCCCTGTATTTGGATCCGCACCATCTATGGGTTTTGGGGTCAGGGTGGGGTTTCGATGGGTTTTGAGACCCGGGCGGTCTTGGGGATTACTCCTTCCAGGGTAGCGACGGAGGCATCCGAGCCTTTTCCTTCAGCCGTGACGTATGGGTCTGCCAGTGGGCTCGCTCCCTTAGTGTTTATCCGGCTGCCCCAGCTTTTTCTTTTGAGGCTGGGGGTTTGGGGGGGACTGGCTCAGCCCAGGGTCCTGCTGTGGAGGTTCCCAGGGCTGGGGAAGGGCCGACTTGGGGGCCTTGGGCCCCGTTGAACTCCACCAGGGTTTTTCTACCCCCCCCCCCCTCCCTGAGTGGGGCTTGCAGTTAGGGCAGTGGGGGTTTCCTTCCCCCCCTCCCATGTTCCCCTCGTATCGGGGCTCCTGCATGACTATTGGTCTCGGGTGCGACTGTGCCTTTATGAGTCTTTGTGATTTTGTGCTTGCTTCTGTTGGATCTCGAAGGTTCAGGAAGGTCTTCGATACTTCCCTTATTATTGGAACATCTGTCGTCTTCCGGTGAAGCTTACCTCCAGTCCTTTTTTTCTCATTCTTTTGTAATTATGTCTTCTCTCTGTGCTCTGTCGCGGCATTGAAAATATTCCTTAAATATTCCTAGTTAACTCCCTCCCCGCTGAGCGGGTTGTGCGGTTCGAACCTCGTGCATCCTGCGCATTCGCAGTGGGAGTCTGTTTTGTTTATGGATGGTGTACATAAGTGTTGGTGTTCCGCGTCCTTTTTCTCTCTGGTGATTCGCCGCTCTCACTCCTCTTATCTCTCCAGTCCAAGCCCCGTTGATACTGGGGGTGTTCTGGATTACAAATATGGGGAGGACGCCTAGTTCTTTTCTCTGCAAACGGGTGTGTGGCGCCGCATCCGCCTCTACCCTACAGGAGTCCCGAGGTGTTCCTTCAAGGGTCCGGGGAGTTCTTCCCGGACGGGGTGTGTCTGCTCGCCTGGGTTGGTTCTTTCCTGGCTTGCCAGGTTTGGGATCCTGGTTTCCTGGCTTACCCTGCCAGTTGACGCATTCCTGATCTCGTAGTGTCACTTCTCACGGGTCTCGCGTTGGAACCACAGTGTTTCCGATCACCTGACGAGCTCGCTAGCATTGGGAAGTTTTCTGTATGGCAGACATTCCATCTGGTTTCTGGCTCTGCTTTTTCGGTGTTCGCACCCGAGGTTTTCCCATGGCTCCGCCTCTTCCCGTGCTTGGTCGGTCCATGGCAGAGCTGGTTCAGTTCTGCCTCGAATCTCTCATCATCTGTCGGTGTTCAGGTGGCTTCATTGGTGGTGTCCCACCTGCGTGCTTCGTCTTGGCGGCGGTGTGGGTTTTTTTTTGGTAGTCCTTTTTCTTTTTGTTCCTTCGTTCGTAGGTTTGCTGCATTTTGTTGGCATGGTCTTGTCCTTTTCCTCTGGAGGTTCAGGGCCGTCATCTTGCCACATACTGTCGCTTTGTGTTGTTCGGCGCTGGCGGAGCCGCTGCGGGTTGCTTCGGTTTTGGTGTTTCCTCTGTACCAATTCACGAGCTCTGTCTGTCGTGGTTCACTTCCGGGCCTGCTCTGGCGTCACTTGAGTTGTCCTGGTTCTTGGATTGGGTGCTCTCTTCTTTTCTCCTCGGTTTTTTGTTGCCCCTTCATTTCTGGATTGTTTTCCGAGGCTCTTTTCATATTGGCGTTGGCATCTGGGGTCGGGTCGGTGTGCTTCATGCTCTCCTCCGGTGCCAGGGCTTCTGCTATTTTGGTCCTCGTGATGGGTTTGTTCCCTTGCAGCCGTCTCCTTCCTTTCTGGTGCAGACTGACACGGATGCTTTCCAGAGGGGTCCTTTGGTTGTTGATGTTTGGTTGGTCAGGCCGGGGGTGCATCATGTGATGTGTTTGGTTGCGGCGCTTCGCCGTTCTTTGCATACCCCGGCTGCTATGACTAGGATCATGCTTTGGGTTGCTCCGATTTCCCTTCTTCCCTGTTCCAGGGTGCAGTTATCTCGAGTTGTCCGCAGGGTGGTTCGGTCCAGCCAGCCTGCAGTCTATCCCTGTGCCCACGACATTTGTAGGTTGGCTACACATTCCTTCGTTGATGTTCCTGGGCCTTGTCGGGCCTGTGTAATTACCTAAGAATTACCTAAGTGTAGTTACAGGATGAGAGCTACGCTCGTGGTGTCCCGTCTTCCCAGCACTCTTTGTCATATAACGCTTTGAAACTACTGACGGTCTTGGCCTCCACCACCTTCTCACTTAACTTGTTCCAACCGTCTACCACTCTGTTTGCAAAAGTGAATTTTCTTATATATCTTTGGCATCTGTGTTTAGCTAGTTTAAATCTATGACCATTTGTTCTTAAAGTTCCAGGTCTCAGGAAATCTTCCCCATGGATTTTATCAATTCCTGTTACTATTTTGTGTGTAGTGATCATATCACCTCTTTTTCTTCTGTCTTCTAGTTTTGGCATATTTAACCCTCAAACCGCTAGGGGCCCAAATGGAATTCACACCCACAGGCGCAACAACAACAAAAAATTCTTTCGTCTTATAGAAGTGTTCATTTTTGTTCCCTGATCACGGAAAAAATAACAAAAAAATCGTAGGTGGCATATTTTAGCCGCAATAGGGTAGGGAAGTGTGGCAAAAACAGGGCGTTGGCAGAGCCTTCGCCAGACGAGGTCTACTCCGCCCGAGCTGTCAGACGGCAGTTGCCACAAATATATTATTACCTAGTTATTTCAATGTCTCTGATTGTTTTTTTCTTAGTTTTTTTGCAGTAATATTATTCCATACAGTGAATTGTGGTATATTTATATTATAAAATGTGTGAACCATCGCTGTACTCAAAATTATGGTGTGCATATTAGTGATTCAATTATTATGTTCATAAAACAATAAACAAATAGTTTTGCTGTTGTTACACTATATACACAGGTTATATATAAGTATTTGCATGTTTTGTACACCATAACGAACTACTAAGTTGGTCTTGTGAGTCAAAAAGCAACAAGGAGTGAAACACCAAACACCAGCGAGCCACTCACTGCCACTCCCTC